CATCCCCACACAGCGCCACAGCCGTGACTACCTGGTCAAGTTCCCCGAGGATCTCTTGGTGGACAACCTGGGGAACCACATGCTCTTTGCCGCCGAGGTGAGCCCAGGGATGCTGTCCCAGGGCAGGCGATGGGGTCTGGCTCTCCCAGGCTGGGAGGTGATGGGTGCCAGCCAGGACGGTGCACCCCACCGGGGGCTGACTCCGGGGGTAGGGGCTGTGCTGTCCCAGGCGCTGGCTCCTGACGGCCCCCCGGGTCCTGGCAGTGTCTTCTGGCTGGGACCTTCCTGGAGGTGGAGGAGGCAGATGGGGCGCAGCTGCGGCCCCAGGCCAGGAACCTGCTGTGCAGCCTGGAGCTGGTGCGGACGGTGCTGCGGGAGCAGAGCCTGAGCCAGCCTGGCTCCTACCCGGAGCCTGTCCGGGCTGTGCTTGTCCAGTTTGACCGGCTCTTCGCAGAGTTCGAGCTGAGGTGGGGCCAGGGTTGGGGTGCTGGGTTGGGGGGGGGCTGTGCCAGGGCCGGAGGAGCCTCACAGTTCCCCTGACTCTCCAGCTACGTGTCCTCGCTGGTGGCAGTGAAGTCTCCTGAGGAGATCTACAGGCAGCAGGAGATCATTGTGCTCTTCTGCGAGACAGTGGAGAGGTGAGGGGCACCGTGCACCAAGCTGGGGGGGCAGCAGGGACCTTGGCCCCAGGGATGGGGCAGCATCCCGGGGCTCAGCCCCGCTGTAAGGGTGTGTCCCCCCCCCCAGAGCCCTGTGCCTGGGCTACCTGACTCAGGAGATGATCGATGGCTACGAACCACTGCTGATGTTCACCATCCCTCGCCTGGCCATTATAAGGTGGGTGCAGCCCCCTGGAGAAGGGGGTGCCCGGGGGCGACTGGGTGCTCCCCACCCTGTACCAGCCCCTCCACCCCTTGGGGAGGCGGGGTCCTGGGCAGCCCCCCCCCCACATGAGCTGGGCTCTGTCCCCTCGCAGCGGCCTCCTCATCTACCCCGAGGGTCCCCTCAGCCTGGAGCAGAGCCCTGAGCAGATGTCCCGGGTCTTCAGCCCCTTCTACAACCTCCTGAAGAAGATCAGGTATGCGGTGAGGGGCAATGGGCACCCGTGGTTGGGGCTGTGGGGCAGCAGTGGAGCCATGACGTGGGGCTGACACCATCCCTTTGCCGCAGGGACCTGCTGCGGGTGCTGTCAGAGGAGGAGCTCTGCCTGCTGGAGAGGAGCCTGTGTACAGCTGAATCGGAGGAACCCTGTGGTCCAGCTGCCCCCCCAGCTTGGGGGGCAGCCGTGCCCAGAGCAGACTCCCCTGCTCCCTGGAGTCTCCTGGAGGTCTCCCGTGCCACCCCGCTGCCCCCCTCCTGCATGGTGTGGCGGGGACCCCCCAGCGCAGTGGATGACTTGGGCACCCACCGGCAGTGGGGGTGCGTGGTGGGGAGCGAGCAGGGCTGGACTGGCAGGTCCCTGCCTGCTGGGATGAGGACTTTGCGCCACCCGTGGGGTAACTGTCGCCTCCTCCCTGTGCAGCCCCCAGCCCCCTGGGAACAGCCCAGGGCTCGATGCCACCCCGGGTGCCCACTGCTCAGAGCTGCGCTCCCGCTACAACAGCACCAAGGACATGCTGCACACCCTCTTTGTCTGCATCTCGGGTGAGTGACCCGCCACCAGCTACCCACCATCCCCTGACACCCCCTCTGCAGCACCCTGACTCCCCTCCCTCCTGGCACAGGGGTGGCCGATCAGCTCCAGACCAACTTTGCCAGCGACCTACGAAGCATCTTGAAAACAGTCTTCAAGATCGTCGCCTCACAGGCGGAGCCCTCGGGGGAGCCAGGTGCCAGCCGTGAGTAACCCCTGGGGACATGGGGCATGGCTCTTCTCTGCCCTGCCCATCGCCTGTCCCCGGCAAGATGGGGCCGCAGCACCAGGCCTGGGGACAGTTTGGCTGGAGCACCACAGCCCATGTCCCCACAGAGGAAGAGGATGGTGACGTGTGCTCAGCAGATGCTCCTCGTGTGGCTGACTGTCCCCTGTGCTCCAGCCCTGCGGAGCCTGCTGAGCTCCAGAGGGCAGGTAAGGGGCTGCCCAGGCTGCCTGGCATGCCACGGCATCAGAGCAGGGTGCTAGCCTGCGACTGATCCTGGGGTCCAGCCAAGGGGCTGGGGACATTTCTGGGGCCAGGGTGGTGATGGGGGACAGGGTGGGGGGAGCCCTGTGGCTTTTACCAATGCGTTTTGCCCAGCAGGCACCCGCTGCCTGCCCGAGTGGGTGCCGGACAGCACGTGCAGCCAGTGCTCTGCCTGCCGCTCGCCCTTCACCCTGCTGCGCCGCAGGCACCACTGCCGCAGCTGCGGGAAGGTAGGAGGGGGCCGGGCTGGGGTGCGTGGGGTCCCCTAGGGGCCCAGCTCCACTCAGCTCCGCTCTGGCCCTCTCCTGGCAGATCTTCTGTGCCCGCTGCTCGCCGCACACCGCGGCATTGCCACACTATGGCCAGCCGAAACCTGTGCGCGTCTGCATGCATTGCTATGCCACCCACCTCTCGCCCACGCCCCGGCGTGCCCGGAGCCGGTGAGAGACCCCTGGGCCCGACCTGCATCTGCAGGAGGCTGTAGAGCAGGGGGCAATCGGCCACTCTGGGGCTGCTGGGCGGCTCT